CAGAAATGTTGAATATCATCTGAGATGCTGCTCCTTATAAGCAGATAAAAAGGATTGAAACACCAACTCCTTTCCTTTTAGGGAAAGTGTCAGGCAAAAGTAGGACTGGTTCCACCCAGAGCAATGAGTCTGACCCTTTCTTTTGTGATCAATCCCAAAACTGGGATTGCAGGGCTGAATTGTCCCAGTTTTAGTGTGTATTAGTTGAACCTGGATATATGCTAGAATGTTGACTTTCCCCTGAAAATCTCAAGAGTTAGCAGTCAGCAATTGTGAGTATGCTTTGATGGTTTCCTCATTTTCTGGAAAATAATCTTCCTGCTCCTAGAACTTCAGAAGGCCTGCAGAATGAGGCCAATTGATTCTTTGAACTCCTCAAAAATAAATGTGGTAATACTGCAGGGTCTGCAAAGCAACAGTCCTGACATGCCGTGAGTGCTGGAGGCCACAAAATATTGTGGTTTGCTAATCTAAATCAGTGCTGAAAACACTGATTAAATAATAATAATAATAAACTCCCTAGCATTTGAATAATTGATGTTGTTTATGTCAACAGTTAAATTGTTTTGAGCAGTTGTGAAAACATTTCTTTTAATGAAAGTGTCCACTCTTGTGGGACAAAATACATTAACTTTGAGGTTTTTTTTTTTTTTTTTTTTTTTTTTTAAGTATAGTGAAATCTTTCCTGCGTAGACAGGGCTTCAGTCTTGCTTGGCTACGGGAAGCAGATTATATTTTGGAAATAGTGATGGTTTACCATGCTGAGATATACAGCATGTTCTAAACCAAAAACCCAGTTTTGCAAAGTGTGAAGCCTCAAGTGTGCTTAGGGCTGCAGTGTGAGGGCAGCCTGCTTCCTAAACATGAAATGGTGGTATGTGCTGGCTCCTTCCCTCCTCATAAATTCAGCGTGCCTTGGAATGTCCCCAGCACTGTGGCCAGCTGTCTTCAGGGCTGTCTGCATCCAGTACATCTGTGCTCTTGGACTCTTCCTTGCAGGACAGGGTGGCTGCAGCAGAGTTCCCAGTGCATGTAGTCCCAGTGGCTGGCAGCTCACCAACCTGGTAGTGGTGTAGGAAGGCATAACTGGCATCATGCTGGGGAACATCCTAGCTGCTTCCTAGGATACTTGTATCCTAGGAATCTTGATCCGTGGCTTGGGAATGTTTCCAAGCAAGACTTACCTTAGAAGTACATATGTTAGTCCTTTATTCTTCCAGAATCTTTATGGGCTAAAGCAAACCTACATCTCATAAGGGATTTAACACACTGTAGAAAGGCAAGTTTTTAGGAGAGAACACCACCTATTTTGAAAGGGGGCACAAATCCTTCTTGAGTCTGTGCCTCCATTTATGTGGCATTAATCACTGCTTAAATATTGTTCAAAATGCAGTTTCCTTTGCAGCCACCAGCTCTCTACAAGTCCATTGCTTGTGTTTGAGTGAACCCACTGTGTAGGTGTAGTAAACGCAACCTTTAATGGAAGCCCTGTGGATGGAGATTGGATTTGGGATGTGTGTTTGACTTACAAGAGCTCTAGTTTACTTGGATGGGTGACATGGAGCAGGGAGGTCTGGCAGCATGCAGGCAGTGGATCTTCTGTGTGAGCAGAACAGAGAGGCCATTAAATGAAGCACAGATCTGTGTTGAGATAACTGTCTTTGAACTACAGGACAATTTCCTGCAGGCTGTGCAGTGTATTTGGATTTTTGGACCTGGAAAATAGTCCTACTGTAGATGAGCCAGTAAGCCATCAGTATTAATCCCAGCCCGGGCAGGCATATGTCCCAAAAGACAGCACTGTAAAATGCAATGGATGGGTAATGGAGCAGTTTTGCTCTCTTGCTAATCGTTTTTTCTGTACTTTCTTTTCCAGTACCCCCATGTGCTTCCTCACCACCTTCCTTCTCTGTGGTGTCCTGGGTCCTAAGTTACACCTCCATCATACAGTCACTTCAGAGTACTGTTTGTCTTTTTATAGGTTTTGGACTATGAAATCAACCTTGATGGTTCGAATACTTACAGAGAAGAGGTTGATAACGTAAAATACTGTTCCTGTTTGGCATACTGTAAGGCTATAGCACTTGTGTGTGTTGTGAAGTAAATATGTGGCACATGGTGCTTACACCCCACAATTTTGAGAAGGTGGAATCTGTGTGACAGCATCAGCTTTCAAGCACAGAATCCATTGCTCCAGGGAGTAAGCTGCTAGAGATACCTGTGTCAGTTAAATGCAGCACTGTGTCTACTTACTGTTCTTCTAATTGAGCGTATGTGATGATTGTCTGACAAGCAGTAGTGGTGCAGATTTAAGGACACAGGGATGTTCCCTGATGTCCCACAGGCAGCCTGTGTGTCTTCAGGGCAACAGTTCCAGTCTATGCATGGCTGCTGGCAGCCCACCATGCAGGTAGAGGCACCTTTGGAGTAGCAGTGATGGTCACTATCCCCCTTCTGCCCCCTGGGATTCTGGAGAGCTGTAGATTGCCTTAGAGCATCTCCCCCTCCCTGGGATGGTATTTAATTGAGGTATGTGAGACAGGCAGGAAGGGGAGCAGACCCACTCCCTCCCTTTCCCTGTGGCCTGCACTAAAGTTTTTAAAAAGTGTCCGTGGAATTGTGGTGGCTATCTGTGCTAGAAGTGCTGCTAAGAACTGTGTCAGCTGGGGTTGGTAACTTAAATGTAAATCTCAAACTCTCTTTTTAAAATCAGAGGTGGGGCGAACTTCTTGTCCTTTTCTTTCTGGTACAGCTTTTCAGAGGTTGTTAACTTCAAAGGTGAAGAAGCAGCCACATCTCTGGTTTTAAGATGTTTGTTGCCCGAGTTCTCTCCATTTCTGAGTCTTGTTCTGTGTTATGTAAAATAAATAATCATTTCTCAGTGGTCACAGAGCACGTCTGTGGTGGACTTGAGGTGGGCCCATGCCTCTGAGAACATGCCCATTTATATACTCATGCTATTCTTTGCTTTGCCTCCATCTGCTGCTCCTTTCAACTTGTGCTTGTGTCACTGGAAGTTCCTTCTTTTGAACTGTTGTGCTTGTCACTGAGCTGTTTTCCAAAAGTTGTCTCTCATTTCCTCCTGCTTGATTTCACAACTAAAGTTTTGTTGTTCGGTAGCTGGGACTTAAGGTTACAGCACTGTAAATCTGTGTAAAACATACATCTTGTATGGACTGAAAAATAACAAAAATAACACCCATTACTTAACCAAGGAGAACGCAGAAATTAGTGAGAAGCATCACTGCAATATGCTTCTCTTTGGAGCCCAAGTTTTCCTGTACTGAGAAAAGCAGTAAATAAGAGTATATGTGGAGAATGGCTGAATGGTGGCACCTTGGAGCTAGACTGTGATAGTTCAGTTCCAGATGCACATGGCCTGTGATGGTAATTGTAGGGCAGTTTGCATTGAAGAACAAACAAAAACAAAAAAGAAACCAACCCAGAAATGACTCCTGAAAAGATAATTTTGGTACGAGCTAGGCTGAGGAAGTTTTGCCTGTTTTAAGGAGCATTGCAGCTGTATCAAGTACCTAAAGTCAGAATTTGTTCACCCTTTAAAAACATGATCATTTACTTTGAATCACGCGTTCCATTTTGATAGCCTCCTTCATATAGAAAATATAGCATGCGACGTCCATCCAAGTGCAAGCCTCCCAGTGCTCTATCTTCTATGTGGAAGGAAGTACTCTGTACATTTCTCCATGTTTGACATCATGGTGTTTTGAATAACCACGTTCCATATTCATACCGATTTTTTGTTTTTGTTTTCAATTTATGCACAGCACTTGCTCTGAAATTTGGGGACTGAGTACACCAAACACGATAGATCAGTGGGACACAACAGGCCTTTACAGCTTCTCTGAACAAACCAGGTGAATATTCTGCCCTCTCTCCGTCATAGGACCTTGTGGGAGGGATTGGCTTTGGAGGGTCTGTCTTGGGATGCTTTAGCTGTAAAATAGACTGAATGCTTCTTAGGCCTCTCACGGTACAGCATTTAAAGACATTTGCTTGCCAGTGTAGCAATCCGAGTATTCTCAGCTGATGTTTTGACCAATGAAATCCTAATTGTGGAATATTCATTTTTCACACCAGTTGAAAGAATGGGAAGACTTGTTAATGCAAGCTCTGATGGGATTTGGTATTTCTATTAACAACGTTGGACTACTTAATTCTTTAGACCTAATCTTACAAAGTGTTTAAACTGCTTTGTATGCCATGAGCTTTCAGTTAAATCTCACTAATTGGCTCTGATACGAGCTGCTAAAGAACTGCTTGTCAATTCTTCAGTAGTTAACAGCGGGCAAATTCTGAACAGAGTCTTTATTTTTTCATATCACATTGCTTGATTTGTGTACTGAGGTTTGTCTCCCATCCCATAACGATCATAAACATCTGCATTTGTGTAAGCATATGCAGTCTGTCTTAAAACTAGCAAAACGTTTTCAGCTGGTAGCAAGGCAGAGGAAGGCAAGAAGATAAAGCGTGTAGCCCCTGTGAGATGTGTGTTCTCACTTGTTGCATCGCAGTCACACCACCATGTGGATCCCTTGGGCAGCTGGCTGCTTAGAGACTGACCTGCAGTACCCAGGGAATTGTTAAGCTTAAAACCGTCAAGCATCCATGCCACGCAAAGCCTTTAGAAACTGAAGGGACTGTTAAGTGTGTGATTTTTCTCTCAACAAGTGTCTTCTGCATTTAAAAAATGTGTATGAAGCGATCATCCCAAATACTTGGCTGGAGGTAAAGTGGCTTTTAATGACCCCTAAATTCACTGGCAATAATTTGAGCAGCTCAGAGATGAGTTAACGCTGGTTGATGCCATCGTTTTTCTCCCATCTGAAGCATTTTAACAAGAGCACACATGTCACTAGCAGCGTCAGTCGGCTGAATTCTGAAAGTGAGCAAACTGCCCTTCCTGTGTGTTACGCTGTTGACTGAGCGATTTTGAGACAGCGTGCAGCCTGTGAATTCCTCTCCACATCTTTCCCATGTAGATCTCTCGATGGCCGGCTACAGGTGTCGCATCGTAAAGGACTTCCGCACGTCATCTACTGTCGTCTGTGGCGCTGGCCGGACCTTCACAGCCACCATGAACTTAAAGCAATTGAAAACTGTGAATACGCTTTTAATCTTAAGAAGGACGAAGTGTGTGTAAACCCATACCACTACCAGAGAGTGGAGACACCAGGTAGGAAGACAGGACTACTGCTGGCTTTATGGTCTGTGTGTATGTGAGGGACGTGGGTTAGTGTAGGGGTGAGTTGGGGCTGGACTTTGTGATCCTGTGAGCGGGCATTTTGGTGATGGGTTGATGGTTGAACTGGATGATTTTAGTGGTCTTTTTCAACCTTAATGATTCTGTGATTCTGCGTACTTGTTCAGCATGATGTGTCAAATGAAAAATAGAGAAGGATGGTGTGTTCTTGTGCCAGGACTGCAAGTTGATTAAGGATGAATATTTGGAGAATACCATCTGCTTAAAGTTTTTAATAGGAAAGGTACTGGAAAGTCTTTATCAATGTGTTGAATACCCTGTTAAGTGTTTCCAGTAGTGCTAGCGATTTCCAGCTGGCTGAGGATGGTCCAGCATGAAAACGAGAACAGAAAATGAGAACAGTTCACTAAGTCATGTTCAAGAGCAATCTGCTTGTTCTAGTAATTGGCAGTGCAATTGTAGTATTAGAAGTACTGAGACGCACCTAAAGAAACTTATATGGCTTAGATTTGTTTTTTGTTTCACTTCATAGAATTGTGAGTTTGAAGGGTCCTATTAATATTTTGACTTCTTTTCCAGTCTTGCCTCCTGTCCTGGTGCCACGGCACACTGAGATCCTGACAGAGCTTCCACCTCTTGATGACTACACCCATTCCATTCCTGAGAACACTAATTTCCCAGCTGGAATTGAACCACAGAGCAACTACATACCAGGTATTTTCTTACCTCCCAATGTGAAACAGTATGCTTAACATTGCACCATCTTCCTAAGTGATCAAATGAGTTGAAGGATGTACCAATAAATCAAATCGTGCTGGTTTCCTTTATTAATTCAAGTGGAACTCCTAAAAATGAAACAGTGACTTAAAATTGTTTGATCTGTAGGCTCATAATCTATAGAAGTCTGTCTTGTGTATTTGTTACTACAGTGTATGTACAGTTTTGCTGTTAATATGCAGTATAAGAGTATTGAATTCAGCCTGGAGAAGAGAAGGCTGCGGGGCGACCTCATTGCAGCCTATCAATACCTGAAGGGAACCTACACCCAGGAGGGGAGTAAACTCTTCAGAAGGGCTGACAACAGCAGGACTAGGGGAAATGGATCCAAGTTGAAGGAGGAAAGATTTAGGTTGGATGTTAGGGGGAAGTTCTTCACAAGGAGAGTAGTTAGGCCCTGGAACGGGCTGCCCAGGGAGGTTGTGGATGCCCCGTCCTTGGACGTGTTCAAGGCCAGGTTGGACGGGGTCCTGGGCAACCTGATCTGAATGTGTGTGTTTGGTGGCCCTGCTAGGCAGGGGGGTTGGAACTACATGATCCTTGAGGTCCCTTCCAACCCAGGTGATTCTGTGATTCTGTGATTCTGTGAATTAATAAAGAATTCTTCCTCCTGTTTGCTTCTTCCTACCTCAAGACCAAAAAAAAAAAAAAAAAAAAAAATCAAAGTGAACTGCTGCAGTGCACATATAAGCCTCTATTCTTATTGAAATATGAAAAGAGTGTTTCATGGAATCGTAGAATGGCTTGGGTTGGAATGGACCTCAAAAATCATCTAGTTCCAACCCCTGCGTCGTGGGCAGGGTTGCCCATTGTTAGATCAAGCACTGGGTCAGTCTGTCCAGGGCCCATCCACTCTGGCCTTCCAAGAACGGGGCAGCAAAAGCCTCTTTGGGCAGTCTGTGCCAATGCCACAGCACCTCAACATGTCCAGGTAGATAACATCAGTTTTCTTCTGTTTGCCCACTAATGCCATTGCTCCATCACAGAAGGCCACCAAATGGGTCAGGCATGATTTGCTGTTGGTGAAGCTGTGCTGGCTATCTAGGATCACCTGTTCATCCCTCATGTCCCTTAACGTGTCTTCCAGGAGGATCTGCTCCATGATCTTCCCAGGCACAGAAGTGAGGCTCACTGGCCTGTAGTTCCCCCAGTTTCCTGCTGCTTCAGGAAGTTTCTGGGAAGATTAAACTGAGCCAAGCAGCCATTTTTTCATAAGTGTTTAAGGCAATTATATTCCAGCATCCCAGTACTGAAATAAGCTGGTAATTCAGATCCTGACATGAGAGGAATGACTGCCTTTAAACTCAAACGCATGATGTACATATCTTATCTGCATGTCTAATACCAGGATGTTACATGTTTCCTATAAATCTATCTGAAAGCTGAAGTAGAGCCAAGAAAATGTCAATGAATTTGATCTCCTTTGTTAAATCAATGCCAAATTTGTTGCCCCCATAAAGAGGTTGGAATTGGGTGATCCTGAGATCTCTTCTAACCTAAGCCATCCTAAGATTGTGACAAGATTTTTAAAGGGCTGTTCAAGATGCAGGAACTTGATGTTGCTTTCTTCATTTTTGTATGCTTTTTTGACTCGGTCTGAGGGCTTTTTGATGGTGTTTGTGGACTTTGCTTACTGCAAAGAGACACCATTTGGAAATCCAGGAAATGAGCTCAGGGAACTCTGGGTAGCTGTTGGCAAGAAGCCTGCTCAAGGTGATTGCAGGTACTCACGTGATATTCACTTCTTTATGCAGCTCACCACACCTCGCCTCCTTCTCTTTGTCACAGACACTGCTCTTGTATTCAAGAATCATATCTGAATCTCAGTTTGTTTGATGTTGATAGCTAATCTTTGCTGCTTAGCTGGGTTCTGATAAGCCTTCTTTAGTCTGACAGCCTGCTTTGGAGAACCGTTCTCTGTAGCAGAAGGCCAGGCTACAGCTGTTGGTCTACAAAGAGATCATCACTTGTGTGTACTTCATGTGCTTTTTCTGGGCAGGTGGTGACTGTAGAGATGTAGGATAACCTTCATGGCCCTTCCAGTTTGAGCTACAGTGTCCAGACTTCTGGCTGGGATTTGTTAATTAATTTCCAGCTGTGCTGTTTCTCACCTCTGACCCTAAAATTGTATTAATAGGTGGAGGGAGGCTGTGTTCAGACTGAGTGGATATAGAACATAATCTGTGCCAAAAAACTCGAATTAGGAACTGGAAGCTGGAAGTGTGGGTTGGATTGGAAATTATTATTAACTTTAACCACATCTGTGGGCTCCACTGTAAACAAAAAATGAAAAGATAGGTGCAGTCCTGTTTATCACAGTGAGTTCTATAAAATTGTTCAAAACAAGTGTGATTTTTATCATCAGTGTTCTTGGTAGTAAAGATTTCCCTCTATTTTTCTTTTAAATTCTCACTTGAATTTTGTCACATCTATATTTATAGTGAACTGAAAATGTTCTTTTGGTTCAGTTTTATTTAATCTGGTGATTTAATCAAGTTTCCTCTTGCTTTCTTCTGTTATTACTCTTCTCCTATAAATCTTTGACGTGATAGCAGATACAGTTTTATTTTAATTCCGAAGCAGAACACTTTATCTTTGTTCTTGTGTTTGGCAATACGTAATTAAATGTTTAAACTCTTAGATGTTTCTGAGACAATTCTGAGGTGATTATAGAGATCAGTTAGCAGTTACCACTTCCAATAAAGAAATCGACATTTTATTTTCAGTAAGTAGGAAAAGACTCATGTCCAGTTCAAAGAAAATTATTTCCTGAAAGGCAGTTGGTTAGCACATTATCTGAATTACAAATTAATTTTGAATGGAGGGAAGGAACAACCACAGTCTTCCTGGGTTTTAAAGATATTTCTGTGAAATTTGACATTTTCTAGTGTCAGAATGCTTTGTGCTTGTTACTGAGTTTACTTTGGTCAGTGATACTCCCATTTTTAATAAAAGCTAGTGATGAGAATAGATGGTTTTTGGTTTTTTTTTCAATACAACTTGGGATTTGTCATAATAAAGAGAGCTTGTGCATCATAACTGATTAGATAATACCTTATTGTTAATGTGTGAAAGCAACTTTTAGGTGCTGAAGAAAAATGAATGTAGGGACCGAGCTGGAAAAATGACCTTTAAATCTAAAAACTTGTAAGGCGTAGGAGGGTGTCTGATCTGATGGTTGTACTGCATGAAGACAGCTCCTATTTTTTTTGTAGAAGTCACCAGATGGTTTTTTCATTTGTAATTCGACTAAATGTGAAAGCTGCTAATCACAATTGCAAAATTATTACTCATTGTAGTGGAAGTATGTCATATTGCCTGGGAAAAACAGGGATATCCATTAATTGTGTAACATGTTGGAGCAACCGACGGGCGCAGGGCGATGCATTTTACATGGACAGTGGGGCAGGTAGCAGGTCTGAGTTCTTACTGGAAGGGAGGAAATCCAGCAGAATGAAATTCCAGTTTAGTGTTCAGGTATCACACAAAGCATGCAGGGAGTTGAAGACTAATCCCCAAGTAGTACATCGTGCAAGTTTCTCATTCGTTTAAACTATAAATTAATTTTGATTTTTTTTTTTTTTTTTTTCTTTTTTTAACAGAAACACCACCTCCAGGATATATCAGTGAAGATGGAGAAACAAGTGACCAGCAGTTGAACCAAAGCATGGATACAGGTAACGTTTCTTTTTTCACCACTTTGAAGACTTGGAATTGCTTGTTGTGGTCCATTCACATGTAATAGCGTGTCTTCAGCCCAAGTCATGACAGCAGCAGCCTTCTGTATAACCTGTTGTGTTTCAAATTAATTCTTGTTAGGGAGGCTACACTGAGAGATCTTCCTAGTGGAGAAGTGCATAAATAAATAAATGTTCACAGACTGTGCGTGAAGAGAGCTCTGCCAAATGCCCCGCTGAGATGTTAATAGGCTCTTTATGAGGAGGGCTAGGTTCCCAGGAGTCTGGAAAATTAAATGTAATCTGAATTCTGAATAAAGATGGGACCTGCTGGAAATCTGGTTACAGGTTTTCTGAGGCCTTTAAGTCCTAAGAACTCTTAAAAGAAAGCTAGTTCCTAAATAACAGTCGTACCTGTTTGCCTAAAATAAGAAGAATATATTGTATATTGCTCTGAACCAATCTGTGTTGTTCCAACAGGATCTCCAGCAGAGCTGTCTCCCAGTACTCTCTCTCCAGTCAACCATAGCCTGGGTAAGCTGGAAACACTTATATGTTTGAGTGTGTGTGATGACTCTATTTTTAGTGTACTTGTGTACAGAAAGTGAAGATATAATTTAGGAAAGAGAGTTTTGGTAGGAGACTGTTGGGTTGACCCATGTAGCTGGGTTAATGGCTAATTAATGACTACCCTATTTCTGCAGCTCAGTCTCTAGCAAAGAGAGTAAAATGTGTGAGTGGTTCAGTTTAATTTCTTCTTTAACTTTACCAAAGTGTTTTTAAGTTACAGAAAGGCAATAGAAATGTCTCTCAGTGTCTGAATTCACAGTAACAGTGGCCTAATCATTGTGCTAAGCAAAGTGCAAGTGCTGGAATACATAAACTGTGCTCATTTTACATCATCCCTTCTCCTCTTCCCACTCACCTTTGTGTAAATACTGAATTCCATTCTTTTTATTGGGGTAGCTAAAAATGACAGCAAGCAGAATTGTAACTTGTGTAGCTTGAGGAGACTGTCATTTCTGGAAGAGAAGAACAGCAGGGCAGGTAGGCTCCTTTTCAGGCTCAAATTCTGTGCTAGCTTTCTTTCTTTCTTAATTTTTTAGACTTGCAGCCAGTCACTTACTCGGAGCCCGCATTCTGGTGTTCAATAGCATATTATGAGTTGAATCAAAGAGTGGGAGAAACCTTCCATGCATCACAGCCTTCTCTGACTGTAGATGGCTTCACAGATCCATCCAATTCCGAACGGTTTTGTCTAGGTCTGCTTTCCAACGTCAACAGAAACGCGACAGTGGAAATGACAAGGCGGCACATAGGTAAAGATCTGATCTTTTTCCTCTTCTGGTGCTCCAGGCTCCTCTCTCTCAAGGCTCAATTACAACACGATCAGTATTTTCTCTTCAGTAATTAAGGAATACTGTTTTCCACATTGCAACATTTTCTTCCAGAAATCGTATTTTATTTTTTCAGATTATTTTATTTAGCAGTAGCCACTGTTTTTAACATGCTTCTTGCTGCTACATCTTGAGTAGAACCTGATTTCCTCCACCTTAAATGGTGATGCTTGGGTAATAAAATTGTAGGTTTGAGGAAGCTCAGGATGTGTCTGTAACGAATGATGAAAATGGTCAATTGTGAGGAAAAGCAAACATGTCAGGGGTTCTCCCTTTTTGTAGAGAGTAGCCGATGTTTTGCTGGAAAAATGGTTATAAAGAAAAAAGGGGAGTAGACATTATGGCCTCTAAAAGACCTGTTAATTATAAATAGCTTTGGAGGGAAAATCAATTGTACATTCCTTCTTACACGTGACAGAAATAACCCATGCAGATTTTTTTCACTCTGAGGCAGAACAAGATCACAATTCAAAAATGAACAATAGGATTTCATATTGGTTTCTTCTCAGCAATAGGTCTAAACGAAGCCCCATTGTTTTTTGTCAAAGCAGTAAAGCAAAAGGGATATGCAGTGGGTTGGGAAATGGTGTGGGTGCATCAAGAGGAAAGTCTGTGCGAGTGGTAGACTTGCTCTGTTAGTTTTTCCCGTCTCTTAACAGCACAAGACACTTCACATACAACACTTCCATGTTGGCACACTTTTGTTTACACTGAATCTGATCTGTTTATTTCAATTGTGATATTTCTCAAGTTCTCTCTAAGTGAAAAAGCTCTTGTGTTTGGTTGTAGACCATTACCTGGCTAGAAAATTCAGTTCATGCCATACTAAAAATTATTCTGCTTCTTACTTCCAATACTGTGTGATCTATAAAAGCAAGTTAATGCTGTTTGGCTAACAGCTGTCAGCCCAGCAGTATGCTTAACCAGATAACTGATTTCTGTTTTTGTTGTAAGGAAAAAACTTGGCCTTCTCTGAAACAAATTATTCCCTTGTTTGTTAATGTGCCTGGCTCATATCACAACGAGGGTTGCTTTGAATTCTGTTCCAGGGAGGGGAGTGCGTCTCTATTACATCGGCGGCGAAGTCTTTGCTGAGTGTCTCAGTGATAGCGCAATTTTTGTTCAGAGCCCCAACTGTAATCAAAGATATGGCTGGCATCCTGCAACTGTCTGCAAAATCCCACCAGGTCAGTTGCCTACTGAAGGCTTCCTACAAAAAAAAAAAGTCTGGTGAACGGATTCACAGGATGTCGTTTGCTTTGCTTTTGGTACTTAGAAAGGGTTTCTTCCTGGTTTTGGTCTTTGGTGTAGCTAACACAAGTATTTGTTAAGTGTACCTTTTTGATCTTTTCCTTGTAGGATGCAATCTAAAAATCTTTAATAACCAAGAATTTGCTGCTCTTCTGGCTCAGTCTGTGAATCAGGGTTTTGAAGCAGTTTATCAGCTTACCAGAATGTGTACCATCAGGATGAGTTTTGTTAAAGGATGGGGAGCTGAGTACAGGTAAGAAAAAAACTTTTCAATTTAGAGTTAACAATTTTTTCTTTCTCTAATACATTTTTTCCGTCTGTATTGAAATCTGTCCATATGCTACTGCAGCTGTGCTGTCTGTAAGTTGAACCCATATTTTTTTTCTCTGTGTCAACTATAGAACTCCTCAGTCAAAAAGACCAGTAAACTGATTTTCGTATATCACTCAAGTTCACTGAGCAAGGAATGCCATCAAAGTTCCCTTCATCCTGCTTGCTGGCTTACTGTGGTGAAACCATTGACAACATCTTCAAGTTTCAGAACTTGTTTTACAGTTGCTGTTAGATCTACCATATCTGTGCTGTTTGGTGGGGAGTAAAATGAGTTTATTAGGTTGTAGTGTGGGATGCAGTTGAGGAGATCCAAAAGAAGGTGTTGGAGTGACTCAGAGTGCAGCAAATGGAGAACATGCTTTTAGGTGATGGCAAATGCACTGGGACTTACAGTGGAAAAAACTTTGAAAGAGTAAGCTGTGCATTTTTGTAGTAAAATTGCTGAAAATGGTTGAGTGGGGAAAAAAAAAGTCCTTTATCTGTTCTTGAATACAGTCCAATTATATTATTGCTTAGGACAAACTAAAAACCATTTAGGATGGTGCCTCTTTATGACATAGGATGGCAGTTTGGAAAGAGGAGAAAGCAACTTCTAACTGAGCAGCTTGAAATATTTCATTATTTCAGTATTTCATTATTATAGGTGTGGTTTCAAACAACAACAAAAAAATCCCTTAAACATCCTTAAAAATTGTTTACTGAAAGCAGTCTGACATATTGATACCCTACTGCAATACAGACCATAACAAAAAAAGCCCTCATGATTTCTGAAGCTAAACAATGCCAGGTTGCACTGTAGATCCTGGGGTTTTTATTCTTTTTTTGCAGTATATCCACGTAAATGTGAGCTGTCAGCATGTGGGGGAGGATTTGCAGCTAAATGAAGCCAATTTTGTAAAAGCCTAATTAGATGGAATGAAAAATTTGAGTAATGGAATAAATTGGTACCTCTTTGTTAGCAAGAGGTACGCAAGGAAAAATCTGGCTCCAGTTTAAAGAACAGTTGGATTTAGCTCTGAAGGAGAATGCATACATTCACACATAATTAAATACAACATTCAAATCAGAGTAGAAGAAAGGCTCAGGCAGTCAGATTGCATGAGGACAGCTTGAAGTGAATGGAGTTATGTCTTGGGCTAAAGCAGTGAGGAGGCTTTGGGTGAAGCTTTTACAAAGGAGAGAGTGTTGATTGTAGTCTACCAACTCTTCAGAGGTCATAGGGTTAAAAAAGCTTCAGAGGAAACTGCTCAAACAGCACAGAATCTGCTGAAGGAATGCTGAATGAGTTTCTGTGCATCTCTGCTGAAGTTGGTACTGTTCTTCAGAAGAACATCAGTTAGAGGTAATTACAGCGAAGATTTAGTGATGCTCAGGTGGGAAATCTATGGGTAGAAGAAACCAAGCTTCAGCTTTGAGATGGCTGCGAAGGGACTGTCACTATTTGATCTTCTGCCAGGGCTGTTGAACAGACCCAGTTATAACATATTAAGGAAGTGTATTGTGGAACACATTGTAGGGGAGTTGACAGCCGTGGAATAATGAACTTCCTTCTTTGGGAGAGGATTCAAGACAAAATGGAATTACATTTCCTGTGGTTTAGATTGTTCTTTTATTGGATCACTTTGTTTTGGCACAGTCGCTCAGGGCTGAGATAACAATGTTTTTTAGAGTGTTGAGAGAGCACAGACCCCAGCTGCTTTCTTCTAGAAAATGTAAAACTACAGGCAGCTTTCGAAATCCATCTTCTCACCAGCTTTATTTCTCTGCCTTTTCAGTTCCTCTGCTTCTATAAACACATTTCCTTCAAGCGAAGGGTTCCAGTGCCGACTGTAAAAATGAAGGGGCTGGAATTCTGTCTGCTGATTTGCTGTCTTTGAATCTTAATGCTTCCTCACTTTGATTTGGGAATAACTAGAATTACTGGGAAAAACTGGCTTAGCAACAGTAGTCTTGCCATTCTTGTTTGAGAAAACTTCTATGCCTCGAGTGGGTGCAGGGAAATAACAGGAGTTCTCAGGCAGAGTAGGTCCAATACTGATTTCTTTACTTTGGAGATGAGAGGGAAGGTGTTTGAATAACAGGTCTCAGAAACAAGGAGGATGGGAAAGCGAATGGAACTTTTATGGCTGTCAAGCTTTCAACTTCACTGAGGTGTTTGAAATGGTGTTTAATTAACAGCTTCTGTTGTGGGAAAATAAGGCAAGTTGATGTAAGAGACAAGAGAAACATTTTTTTTTCTGAGCTGTTTGCGTGAGGGTGTGCAAAACGCATGTGGAGCTAGAAATAAGACGACAGGAAATCAGAGATAAAGTTGAGTGTTCCTTTTGAGATAACATCAGTGCAGTGTAACCACACGCTGTGTTACAGTGTAGTGTTTCTGACAACATCTACCATGGTTGCCTTGTACGTCTCCCTTGACAATTGCTCTAAAAATGCAGATCTTACGATTACCGCAGCTGCTGGACCATCCCACCTGTGCAGAGCTGAGTGTTTCAGCTCCTTATTTCTTCTAGCAGTCAGTTAAATTCAAACATAGTCATTATAATAATATAAACAGCTATATTATTATTATATAATAATGAGTTATAATTATGCATGCAGGCTCTTTGAAGGTGGAGATGTTAGCTGTGTACAGCTGTCTGTGACATCAACACCGTAGTTGGTGCACAGTTTTCAGTTTGACTTTCTTTTGAAGAATGAGGCATTTGGCATGGTGCTCATAGCACTTGCTTCAGCTCTTATTTTACTCTTCAGAGCAGCATGCCACAGAATCATTTCAGTTGGAAAAGACCACTAAAATCACCAGCTGGCCACCCATCACCACCCCATGCCCACTAATGATGTCCCAAAGTGCCACATCTCCATGGTTCTTGAGCACTTCCAGGGGTGGTGACTCCACCGTCTCCCTGTTGGAATACTTCTTGATGGTGTTATTGCTGTTAGATGCGAGGTGGCTGTTCCTTCTAAAGACTGATGAGCTGTTGGTACACTTGTCACAATGGTTGCAAATTTTAACCTTTGCATGGCAGGGATAGATGAACCACTCCGTGTGAGGGATTGTGTGATGGAGAACCTCACGGTTTGAAAAACTGCCTTCTGACTTTCCTCTTCCACCTGATTTTTCAGGCGGCAGACCGTGACAAGCACTCCTTGCTGGATTGAGCTCCATCTGAACGGACCTCTACAATGGCTGGACAAAGTATTGACTCAGATGGGCTCCCCTTCAGTACGCTGCTCCAGCATGTCGTAAAACTCCTTCCTCTGCTACCAGTGGGCTAAATACTAAGACCTGTCAACAGACTTCATAGAAAAGCTCGTCTATCGTAGTATTTGTGTGTGGTCCTCATGAACTCTCTACTATCCAAAAAAAGCTTTTTTTTTTTTTTTATTAATGAAAAACAGCACTTGAGGTCTCATCAATTAAAGCACCTTGTGGATTCTGTTTCCTATACTCTGATACTAGATGAAAACTTAGTATATAGAAATGCCTTCTTCAGAGAGAAGAAGGAACAGCTCTAAAGATTCTTAATGGTGTTTTTATTGGGTATATAATTGAGTGTCCTAATGGTTTATCAATAACATGAATAGCTAAGTATACGTAAAGGTAATGTATCATGATCTCAGATATCACAGTATTGTGCTGTTCTACATTTTAGTTCCCATAGTTAGATGTTTGGTTTGTTTTTAGATTGAGGCAAATCTCTCATAAAATTTCAAGACTTGACTCCTATCTTCTTTTATATTTTTTTTATATAAGCAGGTTTTCAAGTTGTCCTAAACATAAAAAGCAGACTTTAGTTGTATACAAGCTTAACTTTTTTGCTGCCTTCTTAAAGAAAAATCCCTCCCTTGGAAGGGAAATAAATGTCTGAGATTTATCTGAAATCTCAAGACAATTTGTATATTCTTAATGGGGCCTAAAATGAATCTCTGTACTCTAAATTCTGAGTATCCATCACACTAGGAGTCTACGTTTCCCTGCCCATATGAGCTGATGCATCTGTTGCCAGCAGTATTGCTGGCACTGTTTTTTTAGGATTTTTTTGTACCTTGGATCACTGAAGTCAGTGCTTTTCTTTTTCTCATAGAGTTGATGATAGCGTTGGATACTGGATTAAATACAAAAGTGACTTACCCCTAACGTCTGTGTGCTTTCAATAAGCAGACGCTACTGAAAATCTAGGGTTTTTTTTGTTTGTTTTGGAGCCAAACACTTTGAAAAATCCTTTCCCAGGGTAAACTAGACTCTTTCTAATAGGTTTTAAATAGATGCAGCTTCTTAACATGTTTCAGTAACAGAACGTAAATCTCTGATCTGATTAGCTTTGTACAGCTTACTGACATACCAGGTCATACTCATTCATTATGTCATAACGGGCCTTGTTATTAAAAGTAGTTGCTTCTGCAAAACCTTTAGGATAGTGGTTGCTGAGGTATGACCAGCGAAGGAGGGTTTCTAGGTTCTTCACAACTGTGCATGTTATTGTGAACCCTTGGACACTACAACTGCACCATGTTAAAAATACTCTGAAATATATTCTGCAGATAAGTCTGGGTTGGGGAAGGGTTGGGAAACTGTATAGAAGGGTTATTCTGACTTGACAAGTATACATCTTACTAACAATCTTGTGATCTAGCTGTCTGTCATTCTTATGTCACTGTGGCAGTAGCAGGATTGCTTTTGTCCTTTCCCATGGTTTCACGCGTTGCACCAGCACTGTACGTTGTCAGTACGGCTAGTGATAACTTGGAGAACAAAAACGTGGCCAGTGTTACAGCTTTCAGTACTGACTGAGCTGAGGGTAGTCGTGGATATTCTTATGCCATAATGACTAGGACATAGAAGCAATACCAAAAAATCGAGCTTTGAAGAAGAGGGCCAACCACCTTTTGAAAATTGACAAAGCAGTTACCAGTTTGTGCTAGTTTTACCAGTAGACTAATGTATTGGTAGAACTTGTGAACCTAAGAAATAAGCTTCATGAGTGTTGCATTTGCCTAATACGTGAATACACTAATAAAAGTTTTAATTCTCACGTTGACTCCTTTGTCATTATTTACTGTATGTTTTCTTGTGAAACTGGGGGCGATTCTAACCAACCCAAAGAAATGCCACGAATTTCCCACGTGTTGTGGCTGGAAGGGTGCAGTTTGGATTGTAAAACCACCTCTCGGGCAGCTATTGCAAGGATTCTCAGTGTGTGCTTTCGGCTGCAGACTTCTACTTCAGACCGAGTTCATTAAAGCGGTTGCTTTTTTTCCTACCACGGGTGTATTTCATCCTGCTGGCACACGTGTTTACTTTCACCTGTGAAACAGATAAGGCTGACTTGTCTAGTGAAAGACATTACTCTGTGTATGAGCAGGTTGAGACTTGAACCAACTGGATGGGCTAATCTTTAGTCTTCTTCCTGTGGATTCCTGTGTGTGTTCTCTCAAAGAGCTGTGGCAATATTCCTTGTTTTGCTGTGGGCATAGCAGTAGCTTTGGCTACAGGCTTCTCTGGTACGCCTTTCCAGCTGCGTACAAGGATGCTTGGTGCTGCTTGCAGACAAGGCCATCTCACTATGTAGAAATCAATTCATTTTTCTGCCATCAGCATCACTAAAGTACTCCTGCTGTGTTTCTGCCACAGCTTGGTGGAATGAGGGAACTAATCTTCATCTGGAATGTTGTTTCGTTTTGTTTGAATCACGGAATGGCCCAGGTTGGAACCACCCTGCCGCACGCAGGGCCACCAACCTCCACATTTAATACAAGCCCTGGGGCCGCCCAGCACCCCATCCAACCTGCCCTTGAACACCACCAGGGGTGGATGGGCATCCACAGCCTCTCTGGGCAGCTGTTCCAGCACCTCACCACTCTCTGTAAAGAACTTATTTTGCCTGTAGTTTGTTTAAATGCCTTTGGCAGCCCTGGGGTAACTTGAACATACTCTCGTTTCTCAACCCCGTGCCTTTCTGGCTTAATCCCACCACTGTTCTGCTCAAGCATCTCGCTGCAGAACGCATACGGTGTGTAAGGAACGTGGTTGCAGCTCTCTTCTGCTGGGCAAAGTCATCACTTCAAAAGTACAAATGTAAAGAGCTGTATTTTGTTTTGTTTTGTTTATTTTTCCCACTGAGACTTTTGTTAAATAAAATACCAAGTGGAGAGTAAGGCAGCTTCATTGCCAAATCCTTCCAGGATTTGAGAACAATGCCAAACACCTGACGGCTTGCACCTTTAAACTGAGAGCTTATGAGTGAAAGTCAGCTGTGTGTTTTCCTGTTGCTTTTGTGCACGGTGCCTAAGGAGGTGGTGAGCTCTCTGCGTCACGATTCCTCTGCTGTTATTTTAGCATCTTGTGCAGAGCACTCCCACCTCCTTTTGCCTTCCAGGTGCTATTGTACAAGCCTACAACATGGTGGGAGCTGTGGCATCTTGTTCTTACTCAGGGCACTGTACTCTAACCGGGGCTTACCCACTTTGGGACTGACTGCAGGCAAACTGCCGATAGTTCAGCTTGCATCTCTGCAATGACAGGGGTTCTGAAATGCTCAACAGTCATAAATCACTCTTTCATGATTTCTGGGGGTCCCTTCCAAACCCTGCAATTCTGTGATCACAGCTACCGTACTTCACTAATTTTCCTGTGCCCAACTTCTTGTGTTGCAGTGGGAGGTGTGATGTCTGGGGCTTTGATAGTCATCTGCCTCCAAATTGTTGGCACGCTGAACTGAAAGTGTTTTGTTTGAACCTTCCAGCTCGTCGTGCTACATTGTGGTTACGGCTTTTTTTTTTTTAGCACTGCAAACTGAAATTTTCCTGCAGCTGGGTTTTGAGTTAAAATATTGTGAAATACAGGATTTCACTCTGCTCCACCCACACAAGTGTCTTACTTGTGTGTGATGCAGTGTTCCTCTTACCAAAACAAGGCTGGTTGTAACCTCATTCTGAGGCTGAGTTAAGCTTCAGCACCAGCTCTGAGCAAAGTGCAGTCTCTGATAGAAGGATTACACATATCCCAAGCAATGTGCCGTGCTAGGAAGTGCTTCTGGTGGGCCGTAAGGAATTACCTTGCTGCAAGCCTGGAAGTTTATTAAGAGTAGGAAAATACTGTTGAAACGTGTGCTTTCCTGTCTGGGAAATATGTGTTTTCCCAGCCTGGCTTGGAAGCAACCATTACAGACTCTGTATGTTCCTAGATACACAGGTGATAGAATTGTTCGAGTTGGAAAGGACGCTTAAAGGCCATCTTACCCAACTCCCTGCAATGCACAGGGGCACCTACCTGCTCCATGAGGTGCTCAAAGCCCTGTGCAGGCTGACCTTGAGCGTTTCCAAGGATGGGGCATCTCATTAAAGAAGGTCATTTTAAAATAGCCTTTGGTAATGCTAGTCCTCCTTTCCATGTCTCTTTTGCATTTATTAAAAAAGAAGAAAATCTTTAAATGATGTTTCTTCTCTTGGGAAAGCACTGCTTGAAGAGTGAGTTTCTAGCGGCGCATTGTCGTGGCTGCAGAAACTGGAATCAAGGCTTCAAAGCTGGGAGCGATCTTTGATGTAACGTTAGCTGTTTTAACTGCAGTCAGGATTAAATCTAGGCTGTTGGCAGAGGAAAAGTGGATGGCAAATGATGGATATGTAAAGATCTCAGCCCTCAGAGCTCTTGATCCTCTTCCCTCATGCAGAAGATGTATGAAGGATGGCTTACAGGAAAGCCCAGTTACTTGTGGGACCCAGAGTGGCAATGGACACACATGTTCCTGCACTTCTGTTTGTTTTTCCTTTCAACTTGCAGCTCTGAAAAGCTGCCAGTGTTTTCTCTGCACTGAAAGCATCTAGCTATTTGCTTCTGCGTAGCTGTAGTGAACTGCTGTAAAAATGCATGTGTTACGAATGCCTCATGAGTTAATTGAGCTGATGGGCAGTACATACCTGAGGCTGCAAATTCCATTGTCTTTTAAAACTGATCTTTGCTCTAAAGTCTTGCTTGTTTGCATCTTCATTTTGAAGTAAAATTCCAAGAGCAACCACCACAGCTCCAAGCATAGAAGATTATTAAATGTAGGTTTAGCAGCTATGGTTTATCTTTGGATAAAAAGGAGGATGCTGTCCATCGGGCACGTAATCAAGCCCTAATTTGGAGCAGAAAATTCGAGACTTCGTGGGGTTGTATTTCAGCTGCTCCAAAGTCCCCAAAGATACAAAGCAGTTTGACAAGGAGTAGAATGTAGGTAAACTCGAGGTGCCCAGATTGATTAATTATTTGAAATAAAACTGATGCATAATGAATTTGGAACCACTTCAGAAGTTCTGTCTCGTCTCTTGTGTTCTTGAAGAGTTGATCTGTAGGTACAAGTCCTAGTAAAAATTCATATGGACCCAAGCCAAGATGTGCACCAGCTGATTTAATTGTTCTTTGGGCTGCGCTTCCTTACATGCCTGATTCGAGTGTTAGCAAAGACTGGTGAAGCACAGGCTGCCATAGATGGAAAGGGGCCCAACAGAGCCCATCCGAGGGTTGAATGCTTACTATCCAGAAGGGAGTTTGGAATTAAATGTGCATCCATATGCACATGCAGATGACACTGGTTTCCTTTTGTTACCATACTGGAAGAATGGTTGGAGCACAGGAGCATGTTTTAAGGGAAATTAGGCTAACGGGAGAACAAATCTCATCTTGCACCTCTGCTGCCATCCGTATGAAGAGTCAGTGGAATCCTCTATGAAGGAACTTTAGGTCAAGGCTGAAGAAGTGTCACAGCTTGTCCTGTAGCATGACACTGAAGGCAAGAGACTTTAACTCAGCACAGGGAGAAGAACGAATTAATAGTAAGAGATCTACAAATGTTCCTGTGCCGACAGTTGTCTTAAGTAAATTGTCTTAGGGAGGGAGGAAAGAACACCTTCCATCTTTGCTGCTTATTAAAAAGGGGATAGGAGTATTTGGGAAGGAATTAGTATGCACGTAACAGCCTGAGGTTTTTAGTTGTTGGGATTCAGAATACTGAGCTGGAACTTGCCTAGTTGATGGACCAAAGCTTGATCTCAGGTGTAGAACACTTGATCACAAATATGCACAACATGTCTGTGTTGACTGCCACAAGTCCGTGGGACCAGACGGGGATACACCGAGGGTACTGGTGGAGTTGGCAGAGCTGATTGCCTCCTGGTGAACCAGAGAGGTCCCAGGGGATTGGAGGTTTGCCGGCGTGACTCCCATCTACAGGAAGGGTCGTAAGCAGGATCTGGGAAACTGCAGACCTGTCAGCTTGGCCTTGGTACCAGGGCAGGTTATGTAACAGATCATCTTGAGTGAGGTCACACAGAGTGTGCAGGACAACCAGAGGATCAGGCCCGGGCAGCACGGGTTCACAAAAGGCATGACCTGCCTGACCAACCTGATCTTCTGTGATCCCACCTGGTGGATGAGGAAAAGGCCGTTGAAATTGACCAGTGCCTCACCACCCTCGCTGTAAAATCTTTTTTCCTTATATCCAACCTGAGTGATCTTGAAGCTGTTTCCCCTTGTTCTGCCACCACAGACCCCGCCGAAGAGTCTTATTCCTCCTTTCTTGCAGCTCCCCTTCAGATACTGGCAGGCATTCTCGGGTCTCCTCACAGCTTCCCCTTCTCCATGCTGCACAGCCCCAGCTCTCAGCCTGTCCTCGCAAGAGAGGTGCTCCATCCCTTGGGAATGTTCTCAAGCTGCATCAGGGGACGCCTATTTTGAAAAACTTCTCCCAGGGGGTGAGCAGGCACTGGAATGGGCTGCCCAGGGAGATGGTGGAGGGAGATGGTGGAGGCACCGTCCCTGGAGGTGTTCAAAAAGCAGTAGATGTTGTGCTAAGAAGCGTGGTTTGTGGGGAAATACTAGTGGTAAGTTAATGTTTGGACCAGGTGATCTTGGAGGTCTTTTCCAACCATCGTCATTCTATGATTCTACGATGTGTTGGCAGACACCATTGTGTTGGTGGTTCCATGGAGCTAAACCATCTCCACTGAAGATGCTTTAAGGCAGCTCAGTCTTCAGTTTAATGACAGGATTTGT